CAACCTTCCTTGCGCCTGCCCTCCCTTCTTCAAGAACATGCTCGAAATGGTTGATTACAACACGGCGGCCACCCGCATCGAGGACCTGGAGATGGTGCATATCAAGTTCAACGCCCCGCCAGACGTGGAAGTTGCTGCTGAGGTGGAGGTCCGAGCCTACACAAGGGACGCCGATGGCGATGTTTTTGAGAGCGGCGAGGTTGTAAGAAAGAGAGCACTGGCCCAAGCGGAGTGGTTCAACGGCACCAAACGATACACGGTCAAGGCTCTGCTGCCTGGCGACGAAGGCCAAGGAGTCTTGAAGATCTACGCCGGCAAGCGTGGTCTGATGCACAGCATCAAAGACATTCCCCATCCAGTGGCTTTCGCTTTGCCAATCATCCACACGGGTGAGAATCCTCCGTATGAGTTCGTGACGCGGCACCCGACGCCGCATGCCCAGCGTCACGACATTTACGTTGTTCAACCCCAGTGTCAAAGGCTTGCTCTGAACAACACTTTTGTGTTTGCCATTCGGCAACATCCCAGCTCTGTGGTCGGGGGCGGCTCGGCGATGACCCCGTCGTCGAATCCCGGGGGTGCAAGCCCGATACCTTTCGCCAGGCCGGGCTCAGCCATGAGCATGACGGCCTCCATCGCCAGCGGGTCGAATCCCAGCACGGTGGCCGGAGGTGGGAAGAAGCCCGCGAAGCTTGCAATCCAGACTCCTGGCGGCAAGATTCTCCGTCTCATGCGCAAGGAAGAACGCCGGGGAATTAGTGTTGGCAGCAGAGCAATGGAAGAGGACCTTGGTGACGGTGGTACGTGGGAGACCATCATCAAGTGTTCGGAGAAGGGTGTGTGGAGGGGACTGGTTTTGGCGGACCGCACCGCGCGATGGTGCGTCTTCGCCGAATGGGTGTGTGTGGGATGAGCAATTGCATTCTGGAATGTCCCACTTCCTTGATCTTTCATGCTTGGAAAGACAATGTCGAAAAAGGGGGGCTTAAGCGGTCATGGGAGGTCGGTTCAGGGTATGCATATCTCGGCGTTTTCACTTCTATTGCATTCCTCCTCTTCTTCTTCTCATTTTTTTCTTCTTTTCTTCTTTTTCTTCTGCGGTATTTGGGACGGGGCAGGGTACGGCTTGGATGCGTTCCATCATCATCATCATCATCATTGCTGTGGGAGTTTCTAATGTACGATACATAATGGGAATCATGCATGTCGAGGATAGGATGGTTCTGTAACACAAAATTCACGCGTATATGGCCTTAATGAGATCATGATGTATGATTTGGTGGTCCCAATACTCCGTTCCGTAGTGTTGTGAAGAATACCTCTATATAGCAGCAGTTGCGCTGCACTGTGCTCCTTCTTGGCTAGCAACGCCGTCGGCACTGTGTTCTCTATCGATAAGGCGCAACGGCGCCAGGTGCCTGGACGACAGAGTCCTCTTGAATGTAAACAGAGGGGCGTTCACGCCGACGACAGACAACGACCATGCAAGCCACATCCCTACTCACGCCCGGTTCCATCTCGCTCAACATCGACATTTCTGAATGATTTAGGAACCACAGGGAAGAAGAAAAAATAAAGTCACCTTCATTTCTGCCGGCAACCATCAACGCCCAAGAAAAAAAGAAGAAAAAGCAACAGACACAAGGGAGGGAAAAGACAACAAACAAGGAATAAGAAACAGCATATACGAAATCCACCCCGAGCACACCAGCGCCAACTCTCCCCCCTCCCCCCACCTACTTGCGCCGGAGACGAGAAAAGGCCTCAAGACGCCATGGCCGACAGGGCCTCACGACAGGCGCCACCGCCGGGCGCCCCGCGGCGGCAGGTCCGGAGGAACCTCTTCCAGGGCCTGACGAGGCGGCCCACGGGCCCCACGGGGGCGTCTGCGGCTGCGACAATGACGAGCGCCGTCGGACCGGGAGGCATCGTCTCTGCGGCAGTCGCGGCGGCCGGTGGCGGCGGCGGCGGCGGCGGCGGCTCGTCGTCGGGGGCCTCGGCCGAGACGCTGCGCCTCGACGTCGACGTGCTCTCGGACGGGGGCGGTGCGCCCGCCGAGATCGTCGTGCGCGACGAGCACGGCGAGGTCGAGCTGGGCGAGCTGCCGACGCTGGTGTTTGACGAGGCTGACGAGGCGGCGGCGGCGGACGACCGGGAGGAGAGCAACAGTACGTCTTTCCCTCATTTTCGCCGAGTACGAAGAGAGAGAGAGGGAGAGAGAGGCTGCAACTTCCTTTCATGTTAATTTTTTTCTTTCTTTTTTTTTCCTTGGAGGAAGGGGGGTATAAAGCTATAAGGGTTTCTGCTAACTATGATTTCTTTTTGTATAGAAGAGCGCCAGAGGCTCGCGGAGGCTGTGAAGCAACATCAGGTCAACCGCACTGCTGTTCGTGAGCAGCCCGAAGGTAAGTCTCCATCCCTTGTGTGTTTCCAACTTCTTCTCCCTGTCCGGACTGTGTTCTGACCTCATTTTTCTGGCATAGAGCTGCTGGAAGCTGTCAGGGCCAGTCTCCGGGCCAAGGTGGCGGCCCTCGCAGAAGACAACTGGATGTACGAGGCCGAGCCGGAGCTGCCCCGTGCCTTCTGAACGCAGTGCAAAGCCCACTCGCATCTATGAAACCTGGCGGCGCCGCCGCCGCCACAGCATTTTGACTCAATTCTTTTCAGCGTCTAGTAGTACGGGCGTGTTTATCGGCACGCTTGGCAGACGGGCGAGTCATCTAATCCAGCCCCTCAGCTGTGGGCGCCTCCACCCGTCTCGTCGCGGGACGTCTCTGCTGCGGGGCGCCGGCACCGCCAAACAGGCTGCCCATCATGTCCATCAACGGGTTGCTCTGCCTCGGACGCTGGATGCCAAAATACATCTCGGCAATGATCTCAAGCGCCTCGTTCCACATGCCAACTTCGGCGATGTTGGACGAGTACTTTGCCAGGAGCTGCTTGTAGGCATCGGGGGCGCCGCGCTGCACCGCCAGCAATAACAGGCCAAGAAAGTTTAGGAGGGGCAGGCCGGGGAAGATGCGGAGGTCGGCGCTGTTGCTGCTGACATCCTGGACGCCGAGGCCCTTGTTATCGTCGCTGAGGGAGGAGGCGAAGAGGCGATAGCATGTGTTGGCGGCGCGGACGTTGCCGACGAGGAGGTAGGGCAGGATGGCGCGGGCGGCGTAGAGCGGGGCCGTGTGCGAATCGTCCTCCTTGTACCATACGTATTCCATCTTGGCGAGAACCTCGGCCGAGTCCTTCGTCCCAAGCACCAGGTGTCTTTCGGCCTCGTAGGCTTCGTGTTCCTCAGCGTAGAGCGATCCGGCGACGTGGTGCAGGTCGGCGTCACCGGCGGGGTACTCGCCGAACTTGGCGGACCACCTGTAGGATCCGTAGTTAGCTTGCCTGAGCCCCCCTGGGCCTTTCTAACATGATAACTTACGCAATCATCTCTCCAATGAACTTCTTCCTCGTAGGCTCCTCGACAGGGAAGAGGCGCAGCAAGGTAAGCAGCTTGCCCTTGCTCGCGGCGTCGGGCTTGAGCTCGGCTTGACGGAAGACGTCGACGAGCATAACGGCGAGGTCGCCACCGCTGCCGCCCTGGCCGGCCTTGAGCAGGGATTGGGCGACGTTGTAGAGGATGTCGGTAGCGGCGGGCCAGTTGGCGGCCTTGATGTAGCGGGCGGCGACAACGCGCGTCTGCTGCTGGGCCTCGTAGAACTGGCCCTCGCCGATGCGGGCCTGCAGCCGCGCGATGATCTTTTCGATCTTGTCTCCCTTGGCTGCCATTTTCGAAGGTGCTGACGTGGGTGCGGTTGAAATGTCGAGGTCGCGGTTCGATGAGGAGAGGAAGAGGGGAACGGACAGCAATAAGTGCGTTTGGAGGGAGGTGACGATGTCGATTTGTAGCTTGGTGGGGTACCTTGGCCCCTCAGCCTAGGCCTGGGGAGAGCTTCGCTCCCATTCTGTCATATCTTCGGTTAAAGTGCGGGCAACTCAGTCTATGTAGGTACTTCGTACCTACTCAGACTGCAAAGCCAGGCGGGGTGGCTCACGAGCGGTGCACTGACCAGTACTCTAATTTGGCAGCGGGCAAGATTCTGTCAAAGCCAGCCGAGCTTTCCAGAATACCATTGATTTCTAAACCTGCGGAAATCTGGGAGGTTTGCCAGACTTTTTGATCGTGATATGAATTTCATTTATGAAAGTTCGTATTTTCCAGTATATCTTAAGCTTCGCCTTCACGTCAGGAAATATAGGCATGCGACACGCAAATTGTAAACTTCGTATTTCGAGTGTAGTAAACAGTCGTACCTGTTCCCAGGAATAGTACAAGTACCTAGGGATTCATGCGACTCATCTTTGGCAGCTACTGATGTCATCTGATCCATGAATTATGACGCGATCATGAATATCTTTCTTCGATAAAATCCCACTGGTATGAAGGTTGTACAATTAGCTGGATATCCTTGTCGAGGTCTTCAAGCAGAGTGAGAATGATGATATGTTCTAAGAGTGCCACCGTTACACAAAAGTCCGAATCAACAGTATCGTATCGACCATGATGACATAACCCGGAAAGCAACAACTATATAGGCAAATTGATTGTGCTGGGACAGAAAAGCACCAAGGGATAACAGCAGCGGGTTGTCGATCAATGTTCCCTGCTGAACCGCTGGATCTCACTACCAGGGCCAGTGACGTCCTGCCTGGTGGGGGCACAGACCATGGTTCTAGTCAGTGCCCTTGATGATAGTAGTTGCATAAATTTTCTACCGCCGACTTTCTTCCAACTAACAACACTTAATTCGAGTATCCTTTCATGACTTATTAAATTGCCCTGCACATTACCTCCAGGCGCAGACATATCTTTTCCCCGGGCGATGCCGCCAAATCTTGCCCTCGCATTACACGCATTATTAACTTTCCGTCCGAGAACATCCCAATGGCGTTACCCCGCATCCGTACATAAGCTGCAAGACAACGTTTGGTTTCCAACGGATTATGCCCGATCACAAGCGATGATGGTGTAGGGGTAACATCTAAGCTTCCCATGCTTAGGCTCCGAGTTCGAGTCTCGGTCATCGCATAACTTTTTGTGTTTGTTTGCTCCTTTCGTCCTCTTCTGCGGTCTCACTTTTCTTGAAGCCCTTATGTAGCCTGCCTGCTATTCTGAAGACACTCCTACACCGTGTGAGTTATGCACGATCTGGATATAAGCTTTTACACAAGGCGCGTCATATATACTGCTGTTGGATCGCGGGTCTGGAAACAGCATTTGGTGATTACTATTCATAACATCGTCATAGATGTACGCGACAAAAGCCAAGCATCGATGTCTCGATCGTAGCAAGCTGGCCACGGGACCAGACGATACCATTCTGCTTTCCTCTGGATAAAGAGGTCATGTCGGGCTGAAGCATTGGCACCTGAACTCCAGTGTTTGGGAATTTCAAGCTCATATGTCGAGTGATATACATAGAGGGCGATTGCTCTAGCGATGCATTGCCAACGTGAGCAAGTGGTGGGGAGAATAAACGCACGGAACGCACATAAGCCCCCTCACGTCGAACGTCCAATACCAGGATGCGGGGGGATGCTACTTCGTCCCCAGGCGAGGACAAAGCGTAGAACTCTTTTTTAGTCGAAATCCCACACAGTGTTCCTGTCATCTGGCTCAGGTCATTGTAGTTATTGGTTCGCGGTTTATACTTTTAACTTTCTCGAGCTTGGGCGGGCAGGCCCCCCCCCGGACGGACCTCCGGAGTCCGGGATCCACTGCGGCATTGACGGCGTCTGAGAGGGGCAATGTGCCGATGTCACGATCGAGTCACCATTCCCATGCGCTCCCAGTTCTGCAGACACAATTTCTGTCAATATTACTCGCAAATATGCTCTCGTTGAAGATGGACGATGAGAAATCGTTCGCGCTCGGCCTACCCCGGTGGTACACTTCGCTCATCTCATCTTGCAAATATCAATGGCACGCATATCCGTACAGCTGCAGGCCGTCATCTTCATCCCTCTACCTGCTAAAGCATTTCGTTGCCGACGAGCCTGAGTGAGGATACTGGTTTCCAGGGGAATCGTAATTATCATCCTCAACAGCCGATACCTTGCCGTGAGATTTGGCAGTTGCAGCCACTGCACGGGACTTTGAAGAGTGACTCCTTTAAACCGACACTTGGTCATCGTCCCATCTTACAAGGTTGATAATGGATATAGAAAAGTTCGCGCTCGAGGATGTGTCACTGACCCTGCGCTCTTTGCTGCTGCTGCATACAGCAGTCATTCCAAAGCGCGAGGAGCGAAGGCCTTCCCGGTCCGGACACGAGCGGCCCACCAGTAAGTACCCTTTCAGACGAGTCTGGAACGGAATCGCGTCACCGTGCCATATGCTTCTGGTTGGCGTTCAGAAGGCATAGACGAGAGAGATAGCTCATCTTTGCCTTCCCGGTAGCCGGGATGCTGCGATTGATAAAGGGCCAGCGTTCCGCTCCTTCTTCGCCGACTTCAACTTACACAAGCTGGACTAAATAACACTTATCGAAATACCACAGAAGATATGGCGCCTACTATAAAGAACGTTGCCCTCGCCGGTGTAAGTCCCTTGCGTGCGGTGTGGCTGCGGGCAGTACTGACTCACATTCCCAGGCTGGCGGCAACCTTGGATCCGCCGTCCTGAAGGGCCTCATGGCCTCCAACAAGTTCAACATCACGATTCTGACCCGCAAGGCCGGATCCCACGAGTTCCCGCCGGGCCTCACAGTCAAGGAAGTCGACTACGACTCCCTCGACTCCCTGACCCAGGCTCTCAAGGACCAAGACGCCCTCGTCAACTGCACCAGCTGCTTCGACCCCAAGGTCCCGTCCCGCGTCGTCGACGCCGCCGTTGCCGCCGGCGTCTACCGCTACATCCCGGACGAGTTTGGCGCCGACCCGATTCGCTGCCACGTCCCCAGCCTGCCCGCCTTCGGCATCAAGGCCTTGGCGTGCCAGCACATGAAGGAAAAGGCCGCCGAAAACGACGGCAGGTTCACCTGGACCATCATCACCAACGGCGCCTTCCTCGACTGGAGCATCCGCAACGGCTTCATGGGCGTCGACGTCAAGAACAAGAAGCTCTCCCTCTTCAACGACGGCGAGAACGTCATCCCGTACACTATGCTCGCCGACGTCGCCAAGGCCGTCGTCGGCACGCTGCTGCACGCCGACGAGACGGCGAACCGGATCGCCTACGTCCATTCCACCAACAAGTCGCAGAAGCAGATAGGCGCCATCGCCCAGGAGGTCGTGGGCGGAACGTGGGAGACCACCACCGTCGATGTCGACGCGATCTATGCCAACTGCATAGAGTCCATCAGCAAGGGCGTCATGACCCCTGATGTCATGTTACCCCAGCTCCTGTACGCCTGCGCCAAGAAGGAATTTTCTCAGCCGTGGGCCAGAAACGACAATGCGCTTTTCGGCATCAAGGAGCTGAGCGACGATGAGTTGAAGGAGGTTTGCAAACAGATCTCTCTAGAGTAAATAGCTAGTCCTCCTTAGCCCACGAACAAGAAAGTGAAAAACAACAAAGTATCGAGAGGAACAGTCCAGTCTCCTGCACCGGGTTGTTCATGAATGAGTTTGAGACGCAAAAGTCGCTTCATAATAGTGCACATTCAACCATGTGATGATGGAACTGTGAGTATGGCGGGTGATGTTATATTGGCATTTGAATTCTATCTCCTTCATACACAGTACATACGAGAGCTGCTCATCAAGAAGGCCAATCAAGATGCGCAGCCTCAAGTAGATGCTCTTGTGGGTTGTGGCATCAGCCATTCCGCGTCGGCTATGCCGTTCCAAGCGTCCCAAAATGCATCCAAGCAAGCCAATACACCACCATACTGGCCCTGAATCTTGTGCTCGGGCAGAGCGTAATATACACAGGTTTGTTCCGATCGGCCAAGGCGAGAAGTCCAAGTTCAACGAACAAGAGCGCGACAGGCAGACCAGGAAGTGAGAAAACTTCAAATGCGTCATGCAAAACTCGGGTTTGCCGGTCTGTGCTGTCAAGGCGTGAAGTCGTGTGTACTAAGACAGCAGTATAAGAATGAGAACTTGCAGAAGAAAGTCTGGTTCGTTGACGTCGTTTCTTGTCCTCGCCGGCGGAAAAACATTCAATTATTTGGTTCGATTAGGAGCGGAGCGTCGGTTCGGACTTGACAAAAGAGCAAGCCTTCCTCCGGGGG